CACTATACGATTGGCCCGCTTCATGTTTGCTCGGATCCCTAATGCATATATTGAATTGAACCTTCATGTGGACCGCTTGCGTTGTCTAGCTCGAGAGACAGAGAAGACGCGAGGGGCGAGACGATGCCAGCCAGAAACAAGCGATGCGGATTGAGTAGAGTACAATTGCGAGGAATGCGAGCGGGAAAGAGAACTAGAATGCGTGGGGAAGGTGGGAGCATGGGTATCAGAGGAGCCACTTTCCACGCAGCCTGTGCATCGCCTGACAGTTGAGAGACGAGACGGCGACGAAGGCAAGGGGCAGATCAGGTTGAGGGGTGGAGCATGGCGTCCACAGCGAATTCCTCGAAGCGGTCGACAGAAGCGCTGAAATCGTTGTTTGTGTTTGTGCTTGCGTGCGGCTCGTGCAAGGACGACGTCGCGGATTCCGTCTTGTGTGCCGTCACGGGGAGCTGGGACTCGATTCCGGCTCTAGGCCGGTGAGGCTTGCGACGGAGAGGGAGTTGAGCCCATACCTCCTTTCGACACGTGGGACAGGAGACCCACTTCCCGACCGTATCCTTGTGCAGGCCAGGGTTTGGGTCAGCCAACGACGGTGCGACCTGTTGCAGAGCATTTTGAGAGTCGTCTGCTTCTTCGTCTTCTTCACCGTCGCTGACGAAGATGTCGAGGCCGTCGCTGGTGCAATTGGGATTCTCGATGCGCATGCTGGTGCAGAGACAGTCGAGATGGACTTCGTGGCGGCAGGGCGAGAGCTTGACGAGATCGGTAGTCATGTCGTCGCTCGTCTGTGGAAGCTCGAGATGGGCGTCGTCGACGCGAGACTCGTTCGGGTAGCGGGGTAAGCATGCGGGTGCATCGCATCGCCATCCGCGTTGCCTTTCGCGTGCACGCACCTCGTCGCGAAGGCTGGTGTGCACGGGAGGTGTGGTGGCAGAGGTGGACTTGTGTGCGGCGGTGTGCGACGGTGGAGACTGCGTGGTGTCTGGACGGGCACTGAGGCTAGCGCGGCAGAAGGGGCATGTCCACTGCGAGGGTGGTAGCTTGCTGAGCCAGTCGCGCAAGCATCCTGCATGAAGGGTGTGGTGTCCGGTGCAGGGGACGGCGACGACAGCCTCGTCCTGGCTCCTGGGGCCATCGATCCACTCTGGGCGGTCTTCAGCCTCGTAGCTGTCCAGACAGACGCCGCAGCCGAGGAGAGCGTCCTGGTCGTCGGAGCCGGAAGCGGTGGCGAAGCCTCCGATGCTACCGATGCCGAGCCTGGCCATGCGGGAGCGCAGCTCTGCGTCGGCGCGTTCGAGCTGCTTGACGTAAGCTGCGGCCTTTTGGGGGTCGGGCTGTTCGGGCTCGGGGGCGGGCGCGAAGTGGATGTCGAGGATGATGCGGAACGGCGGACCGGCGACGAGACGAGGTTGATGGGATTGGGGAGCGTCGGGCGAAGGACCGCCTGGAGGGGAGCCTGGCGTAACTTGAGCGATGGGCCAAGCGGTCTGGGTGTTGGCGTCGTAGATGAATGAGAAGGGCAAGGGCGAGGCGCCAAAGGGGACATAGAGAGGGGAGACGGGAACGTGACCTGCAGGATGCGGATGTGCGTTGGGAGGCGTAGGCGCAGAGTGGGTGCCTGCGTCTGCGTTGGCCCCTGGACGATCGGAGGGAGACGAGGTGGAGCCAGAGGTTGGCGATGTCTGCGGGTCTGACGAGGCGCTGGACGTTGAAGGGCGTGCAGGAGTGTCTGACTGGCTTTGCGCGTTGGTGGACTGCGAGTTGCGGTTGGGGAGAGGCTGCGGATGGAAAGCCAGGAGGGCTGGATTGCCGTCGGGGCCGTTGAAAGGCAGCCTGAAGAAGAGAGGTGGGCGGGGCAGTCCGCTGTCATCGGTGTCTACACCAGTATCTGAGCGGTTGGTCGCCTCATTTTGGTTCTGCGCTTGCCGACTTGCCGGAGCGGGTGCCGAGCGAGGAATCTGAGGTTGGTCGGGATGGGACTCCGGCTGCGCGTCGTTTGAAGGCTGGGAGGGGTTGCGATGAACGACGTTTCGCAGGCTGGCCATGAAGTTCTCCCAGAGCGTGGGGGCCGGATCCGACGAGGTTGCGGCAGAGGCCGTAGCATTGTCGTTCGAGTGCTGCTGGAACTGGTCGGCTGAGCCTGCCCGACGCTGTGCAGAAGGCGACGAGGACGAGGGAATCGAAGATGCTGGAGGTGGCTGCTCGGCGACGTTCGAGGTGGATGCATGATGAGCATCAGATGGAGACTGCTCCTGTCCGTTTTCCTGCCGTTGCGGGTCGTGTGTCGCGATGGGCGCATCGGAGCGAGGCTCTAGATTTGAGGAAGAGGACGAGGAAGAGGAGGGAGGCTGCGAGGAGTTTGCTTGCTCCATGGTGGTAGCGATGATGGCGCCATAGGCAGCGAGCTGGCCAAGGGGAGATGGGTTGCGCTAGTTCAAAGAGGGATGATGGTAGGGGGAGGAGAGTGTGGGAGAGGGCACGAGTGCGTCTCAAGTAAGTTGCGGCTGAGTGATTGTGGAAAGAAAGGTTGCCGAGCGGCTGCGTGGAGGCTGCGCATTTGGTCTTGGTTGATTGCCGGGCTGTCACACTCTGCCCCACCACAGCGCACAGCACCGCTGCTGCGCCGACAGCTCAAAGCCTTATTCGCGCGTGGAGGCACATGCGCCCGCTCGGCTTATTTCCGAAATATTACACCATAGCCGGCAATGGCAAACCTGGGAGCCGCTGTGCACATCACTAGGGCTGTACACCCTTCTCCCGGCCCTGAAAGCATGAAGTTGGTGCAGAGCGGTTTTGAGCGATGTGTTGCACTTGCGCTGCAGGATGCAGTCGGAGCTGGATGAGCTAATGCCGAGGCAGTGACCAGTGTGGGGACGCTCGGTGGGGCACGATGTCGCGCTACCTTCCACAAGCTTCTGGCACCCTCTCATGCAGAGGAACCTTTTTTCAGCTCTGAACATGTGAGAACACCATATATAACAGTGCCGATTTGGCCAAAAAGATTCGAGAGGAGAACAACACTGAGACGGGGCGGCTCAGCTGGACAGGGGCGAGGCGCGTGGGCGGCTGCGAGGCCCAAATATGCAGCCTCCTGCACCCTGCAGATCCCCCCAAAGCCACTCAGGGGCTCTGTCACACCCGCCCTTCCTCTCGCTTTCCATCAACCCCCCTGACGCTCCTCATAGTTTTCCCCACCTTGCGCTGAATGTCATGGCATCCATCCTCCGCTCTGGATGAGCACGAAACGAGCATCCGCCTGCCTCTTCCATCCCTCCTCCTCGCCATAGACTCTTGACACACCAACCTGCGTTGGCAAAGAGCCCTCATCCAGTCGCGGCTCGACCTTTTTCTATAGCCCATCGCGACCATGTCGACGGCGATGCAGCCACGCGCACTGCCCACGATCACCGTCTTTACGCATCCAGCCGCGCGTCTCATCAAGACGGTGCCGCCGCTGGAACCTCCCAAGCGCATCAACGGACACGTACCCAGAGACAACATCGGTGTCGGTCGCACCGCCTCCAAAGATGTGGTGCTCACCGACGTCTACGGCCCGCTCTCCATCCTCGTCGTGCCCGACCCGCTCGATCCCACCATCGCCACCCTCGTAATATCGGTCACCTTGAGCGACCCACAGCTTCAGGGCGCCGCTCGCCGCTTCGTCCTTCCCTTCCGATCCTTTCAGCGCGACCCCGTCTCGGGCGACATCATATCCCAATCCAAGATCTCGGGCTTCGACGCTGCAGATCGCACCCTCTATCCCGGCCTCGGCACCGGACTCAAGGGCCTCGACGGAGGTAGCTTCTGGTTCTTTGAGGACATCGGAGAAGACGGCGCCTTCGATCGATACAGGTGGAGCAAAGACGGCGTAGCAAATCGCGCCATCTGGACCGTGTGGCTCATCAGCACTCCTGCTCCCGTCGTACACCACGTTCAAGCATTGCTTCAGTCTTATCCTGCTCCCCTCCCTTCTCTCCCTCCCTGGCTCAGGGAAAACAATGGATACCCGTGGAAAGACACCTTCCTCGCCCTTCCCTCCTCCTCGCTCGCAACACCATCCCATTCCAAAGACCAGGAACAACCGGCGCAAGAATCTGCGCAGCCTCTCGAGTCGTCCGATTCTTCGCTCGCCATCACTACACCCAGCGCAAAGCTCGATCCTGCTCCTGACACTCCATCAAGTCCGACACACGAGGCGACAGCAGTCCCAACCATCCGTTCGAGGCGGCTGCGCGATGGCTCATCGTCCATGCGTATTGGCGACACTCCCGAAGTCGTTCTTCGCAACGTCAACCGCCTCGTCACTCATTCAGAGTACCGCAACAGCTTGGTCGCCGTCGACAATCGTACCGGTCAGATCGTCAGCGTTCTCGCTTCGCACATCAGTCTCGAGGCTGACGAACCCGCCGCAGCTTACACAGCCAGCAGCAGCGAGCCCGATGCTGAAGTACACGATGATCACGAAGCTGTCACTCCTCTCGACGAGCTGGCTCCTATCCTACCAGACAAGACGCCTTCACAAGCCCTCGGCCTACATCCTGCGCTCCTCACACTCTCACAAGATCCTGTCGAAGAGCAAGTCGACGAGGAAGAGCGTGATTTCGACACTCCCAAACCCAGCACGATCGTCCACCGTCCTGCTGCTCTCTACCGTGACCCGGATGCGCAACGCCCGCCTTCTCGCACAGCCTCCATCCTCGCCGCCGACACCTTTGCTCCGCCGCCTTTACCACCCAAGCCGAGCTCAGCCAGCCGTACTCGCGCTCGTGCAGATTCTCGCGCTACGGCTGATGCGCCGGCTTCGCGTCGTACCAGCACCGCCTCGGCCTTCTTCACTGCCGAGTCTGATGCAGATGCCATGTCCAGCTACGATTCCGATGCCATCGAGATCGATGCCAGCTCCATCTCGCACCACAACCTTCCCTCGAGCTCCATCTCGATCCGGGGCCATGCCTCGCATGACGTCGAAAAGCACAGACCAGAGCTTCTTCGAGACGCCAACCATCCAGACTCGGACGGCGAGTATGCTTCCGATGCCAGTGGCAGCACCGTAGGTGGTCCAGTCGTGCGCATGTGGCGTAAGGCAAGAGGCAAGCCCAAGAAGAAGCCTGGGGGAGCAGTTCAGAAGGCCGGTCTTCAGTCGGCTCATCCCACGCAACGCGTCAAATCCAGGCAAGCGAGCGAGGTGTCGCATCGGACAAGCAAGGCCGAAACTGCACTGGAAAGCATGTCGGATGATGAAGCTGACCAGCAGCCCCAGGATCGAAAAGCTACGACCGATGACTCTAACCCAGCTTGGCCAGAACAAGACATCATGTCGCCCTTTAAGTCAGCACAACCTTCTTCAGGTGTGGGTCAGCATCTGCCTCGCTCGGCGCTGCGCACAGACGAGGTGCGCTCCATCGAGGACCGCGTATGGCGCGAAGCGCTCGACGCGGGTCAGCTGCCCATCGACGCACCGTACACGCATCTTGCTGCGCGTGGCGAGGCTGGTTTCTACCCCTCGTCTATTCTGTCCAGCCCGCGCTCCTTCGACGACGGCTCGGCCATCGAGCTGCTGTCCACCGAAGATAAGCGGCGTCAGGTGCAGCGCAAGAAAGTCGAGCTGCACAAGCAGAAACAGCGCGCCGAACGCATCAAGAACATGCAGGGCGGGACCGTGCTCATCGAGTTCCTCGCAGGATCAAGTCGCATCGGCGCCAGCTTGATCCGCAGTGCAGGATACACCCCGACGACCTCGAACGACGAGGGCGTCCATGACGCAGACTGCAACAACACGCAACTTTCGGCAGGTGACACTGCCTCCAACATGCTGAGCTATGTGCCGCTTCTGCCACAGCACCTGCTTGGCTTTTTCGGTCTTGGTCCGCGTTCGAGCCAGACGCAAGCGAAACAAACGCCAGACCTTGCGTCGCCGACGCTTGCTGGCGCGTACTTTTCGGGCCTGCGCATGCTGAGTCTGGGTGGTCTGTTGACCGATGCCTCTGACTGGGTCACCGGATTCTTCGGACGCAGTTCTGTCGAAGCCAAGCCAAGCACGGCCGAAGTGGAGGTGGCGGGCGATGGATCGAGGGCGGAAGAATGGGAGTATGCGATTCCGGACTTTGACCCCAACAGCCTCGCCAGCACTCCCAGGCCCGTGTACCGACGCAAACGCCCCGTTCCCTCGGCCATGAACGGGTTCAATATCTCCGCGCCCCGCTGCTCAGACGACGCTAAGAGGGGCGTTGAGGTTCTCGCGCCTCCATCAGCTGCAGTCAAGACGGTCCAAGCCGCCGAAGCTGCACCGACAGAAAAGGCCAGCTACTCGATCCTGCACATCGACAGTCTCGGTGTGGGACGTCGCGCATTCCTCCGTGGCCATCCAGAGTTCGAAGGCCTCCGTCCCTGAATCTCGTCGGCAACCTCTTCCTTTCGTGTTTTCATGATTTCTCACGCCCATACCTCATGTTCGCGCCTGTCAAGACCCACTCGTGCTGTCCAGAACAGCATGCTCTGTGCGGACCGTCGACCCGGTGTTGAAAGTGGTATCATTCGTAGCTGAGGAGATCCGTGGATGCAAGGGGGAGGAAAAGAATACAAAGAACCAGCCAGAAGTCGATTCCGTCTCTTAGGACGATGTCCTCGTTGCAGCAGCGGCGGTGTGTTGGTCTGCGCCGCCGTAAGTGCCGGCACGGTCGCCGAGCAACGGATCAAGCGTGAGTGTCGACGTGTTGTAGCCGCCGGGACCATCGCCAGGCGCAGGAGTAGTCATCTCGTCGCGAGACAGGTTCGAATTGACACCGATACTAGGTCGCGGGTCTTCCGAGAAGCGCGTCAACGGACCATTGATGGCAGATGCAGGCACGGGGTCTGCTCCCAGCGCGACGTTGCCGTGCTGTGTCACCATGGGCTCGGGCATCATCATTCGTGTCACCACGTCGCCAAGCCCTTCCTGATGAGCTGCAGCAGGGACTGTGGACAAGCCCGGAGCCCCGATGACAGCAGCGGTCTCGCTATCGATCGTTTCGCTGCCGCTGACACGAGGGCCATTGGTGGTGCCATCCGCATTTCGGGCATTGGCCGCAACGCCGCCTTGGGTTGTGGACCGCGCGTCGATGGTGGTCTGACCGTCGTCTTCGTTGGACGCGTCCTTCTCGGCCTGTTTGGCAGCGGCCTCCATAGCAGCCTTGCGCTCGCGCGCCTCGTGCGCGTTCGTGACGAGGCGCATGAGTTCGGATCGAAGCGGCTGGTAGGCTTCCGACGTGCCAGCAAAAGGCTCGCGTCCGGCTGCGGAACCGTGGATGCGAGTGAAGATGGGTACGCTGGCGGTTCCAAACACGAGTTCTGGCAGTTCCTCCTCGTCTTCATCGTCAAGATGCGTGTTGTGGATGTCGGCCGCGTTGGCCGTGTTCCCCTCGTCCTGATTCATCTTGTTGAAGAAGGCCTCCCTACGCGCGTCGCCGATGCTCTTGGCGGAAGCGGCGGTGCGGAAGCTCTTGATACTGGCGGTGCGTCTGAGGCTGCGAGAGGCGTCGTCGGCGCCTTCCTCCACCTCGTCAATCTTGGCCGCGGCAGCCGGATCCAGCTTGAGCGATCGCTGCGACTTGAGTGCCGATGCATTGTTGGAGATGTGCGCGGACGGGAAGACGGTGCGCTGCGACGGCATGGCGATGAGGACGGTGACGTTGACCGAGGCTGGAGTGCTGGTGTCGGGAAGCGCACGCTTAGAGTCTCCATCGGCGACGCCTGCGCCTGATTCGTTGAGAGCGCCATGGCTGCTGTCATCTGCGCCTTCGCTGGCGTGACTTGCGTCGCCATTGCGACGGAGGAACGACGGGACGTGCAGACGACGCGTCAATCCGCCCGAGGATGCCGAGGTTGGCGGATACGAGTGGCTGGCTGCGCCGTCAGCGGCCTGTCCCTCGCCTGGCACTTGACCGTTGGCAGTGTTGGTGGTGTTGTCTTGACCTTTGGATTTGGCGTTGTTGGGGAAAAGGTCCGAGTAGAGGACGGGTGGGACTGCGGCCGAGATGGGCATGACGGCGTCCCAGCCGCGAGCCTTGACATCGGCGTCGAGGGCAGTGGGGCGGAAGTCGTGAGCGATGCGGGCCTCGAGCAGCTTGGGCGGGGGCAGGGTGTCTTCGATCTCTCTTGTTGGTCCGAGGAGACGGTCGAAGGGGCCGTCGGGAAGCAGGCCGAGTCGACGTAGGCGGCGGTTGCGCATGACGATCCTCAAGAGTACGAAGCAGACGACGATGACAAAGAGGGCGATGGCTGTTACGGCGAAGGCGAGGAAGGGAACGGGAAGGTTAGGACCTGAGAACGGGAAAGGGTTGGAGGAGCTTTGTCGCCGGACGAGGCGGGGGGATGTGCGGAGGGCGTTTATGGAAGGGGAGCGAGGCTGCCAGTGTGCGAACGCAGCAAAGGAGCGAGAGAAAGGAAAGGCGGTGGTAAGACTTTTGTACTAACCAATGATCAGGGTCTGCATCGCGAAAGTGGGGCGTGGAGGCAAGGGGGTGCGGGTGCGACAAAGGACGAGGTAGCATGGTTAGAGGATGGACATGATGAGCTGGTGAACAAGGGGCCAGAGTGGCAAGAGCCTGCACTGCGGGCTGTACGAGAGCGGGCGCCAAGAGTGGCAGCTGGCGTGGATCGGAGGTAGAGGCGTTGTGTGGGAGGGAAGTGCGGTCTTTGATGGAACTTACGAATACGCTAGGCGGAGTACGCGAGCCTGCGAAAGGATTGTTGTAGTCGGTCTGGGTGGGAGGTGCCGAGGAGGTAGAGGACTGTCGCTTGTTGAGTCTGCTTGGAGGTTGCGGGATGGTTTGGCTAGCGAGCGGGCTGGAAGATTGGTCGAGCTTTGCCTTTGCGTTTTTGTCGGACCAGATGCGTTCGATCTCTGCGACAAAGTCGGCGGGTTCGTGACCGAGGTCGCAATTTTTCCAAGCGCCTCCGTCGCGGATGCAGCGCTTTCCACTTTCAAAGACGATGGTGCACGAGGTGCCGGTGTTGGCGCGTTGGGAGGCTTTGACGCTGCGCTGAAGCAATTTACGGCCGTGTTTACCGTGGACGCAGTCTGCAATGCCGTCCTTCTGCCAGGCGGGGCCATCGATGAGGCGGAGGCATCGCTGTGCGAGATCTTCGTCGCCGATTTTGGCGAGTCCGGCGTAGTTCTGGCACTGGAGGAAGTTCCACCATTTCTTCTGAGCGGCGCTGGGGCTGAGGTCAAAGTCTTCGCCAGCGCGTACGGGGTTGAGCGCGTCCTGGACGCAGAGTTGCTGTACGTTTCCGGCACACTCTTGTTCGCCGTGCTTGCAGACGGCGCCGTACCTGTGTTGGCGCTTGTCGTTGTCGGGAGTGCCGATGTAGGTCATGGTGAGGCGGGTCTTTGCGTTTACGCGGTCCAAGACCTTGTCGAAGGCGGCCTCGCATGCCAGGGCGTCCGGACATCGCGACATGACGGCGAGGGTGACGTTGACCCGTTGCACGCCGGCGGCATCGTAGTTTTCGGTGGAGGCGCCGGGTGAGAGGAAGGGAGATTGGGAGCGAGACTCGAGCGGTGCGTATGTTGGGCTCGCGAGTGCTGAAGGCGAGCACCAAACGAGCATGCTGACGAGGGCGAGGGTGAGGGCGCGCCACGCCTGATGCGCTTGTGCGGATGCGAACATGCTTGCGGTGGGTGATGGGCACGGGCCCTAGAGGAATTCGCGTGGACTACAAGCTCATGAGAGCCTGATGATGTGCTTTGCCAAGCTGAATGGCTGAGAGAAGGCGATAAGGGGCAGCCAGGCCGAGTTGCCGTCGAATTGCAGGGATGCGAGACGGATGAGTGGCGGGAGGAAGGAAGCGGTGGTGAATGTGGATGTGTGTGCCGTCGTCTGGGTGGTGATGCTGCGATGACGGCTCGGGGGGTATATCTGGGATGATGTTGTTGGTGGGTTGAGAGATGCAGAGGAGCGGCGATTGAATGTCGAGAGCGAAAGGCAATATCGCAATTCCGCCCAAAGTGGACTGATCGTGGATGGCGAGTGGAGAGAGAGAGAGAGA